CCCTACATATATACAGATTGCACAAACATAGGGCCAGTAGTTTTCCATACAATTTTGCCAAGAACAGCATTTTACACATGAGAAACTGCAAACTCCAGACTGATTCAGCAAAAAGCAAGAAGAACATCTATACAAGAATAACTTCCAGATAAAGAGATCTACCAATTCAGATTTTGCCATCTGCTTTACATAATGCTTTACTAACATGGCTGGTTACACTGTGTACATCTCCCCACACCACCAAAGCTAAGGAGAGCTGAGGGAGAATACAGTGTTAGTCCAAATAAATACTATAGGTGGAAAAGTATTAACTACTGATATTCATGGCTTTGAGTGCCATGAACATCTGCTCTTTTATTAAGCTTACATGTGACCTTCGGAGAGTTTAAAAAATAAGTGCAATTGAAATATTTCCAGCTAGAGTGACCCAGACCTGGCAATTAAAGTGGCAGTTCACTAACATATCCTACCATGTAGTAAAACCAGACTCCATCCAAAAGAATAATAAAGCTTAAGGTTTAATTTTGCCTTTCTCCAAACACAGAGTTTACTTACATTCTGGTTCGTATACCAGTACAAGGATGAATCCTTCAGAATAAACCAATACTTTTTCCATTTCTGTGTGAAGTAACCTTTGGCATCCTTCTTTTTCCATAGCCAGCCTTCACAATCTCCATGCCCCAGGTCTTTGCAGGAAATCCGCCTCCTGCTCCCACTTGTTAGAGAGCTCCCTGAGAACATGACAACAGTGTGAGACACCTCACTGCATGGAAGAGTCAAAGAACCAGCCTCAGCATAAACACACTGCTAATGTGTAACCATCATCCAGTTCCAAACCCTTCAAAAGCCCAGTCCTCTCCAGTTTCAGGGAGAGGAGAGTGAACAAACCATTTTCAGATTCCACAGTGCTCTGCAGTTTTGGTTCCAGCATGAAAACAAAATGAAAAGGGCCTGTTTTATGTAATGGTTTATTGAATCTCTAGAGGGTTTGTTCCTCATAGGGCTGCATTTTTATCTGATTAAGACAGCCATCATCATCCTGAAGTTAACATCTATTCATTTAGCACTCAATCTGACACTCAGGCTATGACATAATCTGTATGCAGATGTAGCCACTACTCCTGCACATCTTAGGTTACTACTTTTAGCAGTAGAAGGTCTGTGAAATCCTGGGCATTTTAAAAGTCAGTTTTCATAGTCAAGAAAAGATCAACTTCCATCAAAATGCACATGCTTACATTTCTTCCATCCTGAATTTAACTGAACAACAGTATTTCAACTTTACTGTTTAAAGACACAGAGCCAGGTCTTTCTTTTGTTACTGTGAACAAGCAGATTCATATTGCTACGAGAGCTGTATTTGTCCTGCTGCTGTGGAACAGGGAAGCAAATTGTATAACATCAAAATACCATCCACAACCAACTTCTGAATATTTTCCTCATTTTAGAATGGCATACTGTGCTCTGTCCTGGTCAGGCTCAGAAGTATTAAAAATGTACAGTACAATAAAAGGAAAAAAATTCACAGAAAGGAGACTAAACCAACAAACAGAATAAAAAGAGCTCACTGGCCATATGCTTTCACATAAATTATTACGCTGGAGTTCGTTTTTTTTTCAGTTCATTGTTTTAACAGTCTCAAATAGGCCATGAATAGGTAAAGAAACAGAGCAGAAGGAAATGGCAAAATATACAGATAGTAGCTTTATTCTAGCTAAGTCAGGGGAAATGTTACCAACAAGTCTAGCTATATTATACCCTACAACACACTTATTAGGGATTATCTGGCATTTCACTTTGATGTGTACTATCAAATTTAGAAATGCTTGCTTAATTTTGGCATTTGACCAAGACCACTTAGAGAAGCTGTCTCATTTTCTAGTCTCAAAATGTTATCTCAAATAACTTACCTTTTGACCATTTTCTGCTTTTTACCCTGAGGGAAGCGTAATGGAATGACTGTAAGAAAAAAAAAGAAGAAGAAAGTTATGAAAATAGAATGGAAACAGCTGGAATTCACTGCCCTTCTCATGGGTAGCTTAGGGTTAGCTACAGAGTGTGATCACAGGATCAGTTATCATAGGATCTCATTTTGGTCATTTTTCTCTTAGTACTATTATAAAGATCATAAAGCAAACACACTGGTGCTAAACCTACAAATTAAAATCCCATCTTTTCCTGATTACCAACTACAATGGCAATCAAATCACTAAGGATTCTTTGCATGAATGGTTATGCAGCAGTTTGAAAACTAAGGTTATAAGCTCATATGAACGACCTAAGAAAATGAATATTTGAAGTTTGTTGTACATATACGTGAGATAGTTACAAAAATACTCATTCAAAAAGAAATATCCACCACAGACATGATATAGTTACTGTGTCAAATCATGTGTTCAATGACATGTTGAAGTCACATTCTTCAATTGTTTAAAACCACTGGAAACAATTATGTTAGGTTGAGAGAATAACTCAGAGGAGGAAAAAAAATAAAACCTTTCTTTTGAGGCTGCATGATAAAATCATTGCAGATTCTTAAAACAAAAAAAACCCCTAAAAGCTAAAATCATTATTTAAAACTTTTAAAAAGAAGGATACTACTCAAAAGATGGTCAGGATTTCCCCTCAAACATGTAAATGCTAGGGGAAAAATTCCATGTCAACACAACAAAGCTGCCTGGGTGGTAACTGGTGCTGCCATTGCCAGCAGAAGAACCAGCAGGCGTTCCCAGTCCCATAAGGCAGCAGGTCCAGGCAGAGAGCAGCACAGAATGGGCCATATTTTTCTCTCTCTGGAGTTCTCCTTGGGACAGATAACACTCAACTCACCAGAGGGCCTAGAGGAAGGGTACCTCAGTCACTGGCAGGGATATCTCCACACTACGTTAACTAATGGTGACTACAATTAACTATCTTCTCCCAGGAGCCATCTGCTTACCCTGTCTTACAGCAGCTCCTCCCCATGCGGGCGAAAAAAAACACATGCTGCAAAAGTCCTTATTAAAACTGTGGTACAACATATCAAGTAAGTGCTTAAATGTCACAATATTAACATTTTAAAATAACTGAGGATTATCATCAAAATAAGATTATTTAAGATAATATCAAGATAACAAAGGATTACAGCTTAAGTACTATCAAAAACGAAGCAGCTGAAAACATGACTCCAACTAATGGAGAGGCAATGTTTTATTTAAAAAAAAACAAGTGGAGAAGGAGGGAGTTGTTTTGCACATGCACAGGCCTATTCGTGACCCTTCTGCAGCGTAACCAGTTCACAGCACTGAACAGCATGGGCACTTGTTAGTGACCTGCAGAAATCAGTAATTCTTGACTTCTGGGAGAGCTGGCTCAGAGGGCACCAGCTTTCTGTGTCCTGGTTATCTCAGACTGTTCTCCCAGGCAGTCATACCATATGAGTGCTTCACAAAAATATTGTAATTCTGACAGGTGACAAGCTCTCTAAGTGTATGCACATTGTAGCACTGTAAGACACTAAATATTCTCCATTTACTTGGTAGCTGCAAATTTATCTCTGTTTCGAGCACTAAAGAAGACAAAGATTGATGCTTGCTCCTGTGCTGCAGGAAAAACATTAAAGAATAGTCAGAAAATTAAAAGAAAACAAGGATAAGTCTGCAAGAAGCTATTAAAGAGGTACAGTAAGATTGTTTGTTTTTTTTTTTAATTAATGTATTGCAAGCCCCAGCAGCAGTACTGGTCAGTCACGTATTGCCAACTGGAGTTCTGTGGTGACTGTGACTGAAACAATCTGTTCAATTCCTCTCTCTGTATAAAAAGGCACGAGGACAGAGCAGGTATCTGTTTTGGGAAAAGAGATCAGCAAATTTGTCCACAATTCAGGCTAAAAATGGTACTGATTAAATAAAACCCTATAATTAAATTCTGGTTTTGATATGTGATTGAATTTAAAGAACTGCAAGAAAAATGGAAAACTGGAGGATATATAGACCAGAATAACCCACCAGGAACTGGTGTGCAATAGAAAAGTTCTAAAAATAATGAAGATGCAAGCATATCAAATCAAGGAGATCTGACAATATTAGGTCTTCTAAAAACATAAGTTAATTAGTTTTATCCTGTTTTGTTTCTGTACACATGCAATGCATTCAAAGCAAGAAAACCAGAGAAAGTGAAAGGTTTGTAATACTTGGGAATCAGGACTTCATTAGCACCACTAACTTACAAAATTCAAGCTTCATATGCTGAGAGATAAAGGGACTACTATATAATTAACTTTGTGGTAAACACTGTAAGAAAAGAGTCAGAACTTGCAACTTCAAAATGACTCAGAGTTGCTATGGGAAACAGAGAGATGATAGGAGAGCATACTGTGGTTGTCAGCATTTAAGTTCTCATCTCAAAACCACAACACAAAGTAGAATGTGAAACAAAATGCACACCCTCCCACCCCAACCCAAAAAGAAGCACACCATGGAAAAAACCCAAAGTGGCAGAACTACATCTGTGCTACATTAAGCTAAATTAATGAGACCTCAACATAATCACAGTGTAGTAGTAGGGGTGCTGTCACAGTATCAGCAAATGAAAGTTATGCCACATGTAAAAAAAATGCCCTGGAGACTAGAGGGCCTGTTACCTGTCAGGATGCAGGGAACCAGTTGCATGAATGCAAACTTGGTTGCATGTGTCTCTGCTGTTTTGAGCCTCAGCAGTTCTTAAAGGAAAACCATGAATGAGTTCCAAACACAGCCATGGATGCATTCATTGGCAAAGTAACTAAATCCTAGGGCACATGGTGCTGATTTCCTCACAGGATGTGTATTAGAGTATTTGCAGGGTCAGGATGGCTGGGAACAGCCTTTGGCCCAAGTGTTTTCCAGCAGAGGTAGCAGGCAAGGTGGAGATTGGCAGAGAGGGCAGGCACATCAATAGACACAACTGCAGCTTTGCACAAACTGCAGAAAATTGACTCATGCACTTTCTGCTAATGTCACTGGTCTTTAGCTTCACTTCCAAATATTTGGGAAGCAGAATGACATCTGGTAACTTTCAAAAGTACTTTGTGAAAAAAGGGCTAAGTCAGAATGAAGAAAGAAGCACTCTATAAATCAAGGGTCTCTTCTTTGTCCTTCGTAGGAAATGTCTCATGTTTGTCCTTTGTATGAAATACTTGAAAAATACTAAAAAATAATGCCTAGATGTTTTCTACCAAGGACCTTAAAAACTGCTACCACAGAAGTCTTTGGAAGTCTTAATCCCATATGTCTCTATCATAGAATTCACAGTATTTAAATTATTTAAGGTTTTTTTAAGTTTTCTTTGCCTTCAGGGCAACATTCCCTCCAGAGATCCCTTCTGATCTAGCCATTTTCTGTGATTCTCCTTCCAAAACTAGTATGTGTTCTTACATACTACTAAACTTAACTAAAAGTACTGCACACACACTGACCTGCTGTGGGTGCTGTAGCCAATTTTCTGAAGATGGAAATTATTCCTAGCTTTTTATTTTCATATCTCATAACACACAAAAATTTCAGGGTTTCTGATATCTTCAGTACCTTTTAAAAATATGACAACAAATTGAACTGTTGGGGAGGTTTTGTTTTTTTTGTAAAGTACATTGACAGATCATTACCTTCCTCATGGATGTGCTTCCTTGACGGTCGATGGCAGAACTTGCATATCTAGGACAGAGAGGATGAAAGATGTCAAATAACTACAGAAAAAAATAATTATCTGAATAAACAGCGGATATACACACACATTCTATGCATTTCCAAGTGTATGCTTATAGATGTAATCAGAGTTAAAACAGGAAGCCTTTTGGAAATGTAAACATTGATGCAATGGACAGTGTTAATGTTACTAAGAAACACAAACCAATTCAGAACAAATTTATCTGAGAATATCTGGTTTTGATTGAGTCACTGGCCTAAAAATACCAAACCCTGACCAGCTATTACTGCTTTGGAACAAACTGCAGAATCTAGAAAAAGGAGGAACAATTAGCTACTTACACCAATTAAAAAACCCAAAACAAAACAAAAGATCAACTCAATTATTTCAGGTTGTTTAAAGAAACATTCATTGCCTTACATGACACTAAATAGGCAAAATACTGAGCAAATAACTGCAATATTTTATACTTACTTCTAAATAATTTAATTCTAAAATACTGAGTGTATCACACAAGTTACCTAAAATGGATTTCTGAGGCATTCCTATTTGCCAGAAATATAAAGGACAGTGTCTATTCTGAGGTCTGATACCCATGTGTCATAGACTGGAATTTGCCTCCCTCTTTTCTTATTCTTCAGAACTTTGATTAAATTGTATGTTATGAGCAAACAAGCAAATACAAAAAGGGAAGAAGAATTAGAGAAATGCAGGCACTAAGAAGCAAACACAGATGAAGGTTGAATATAACCTCTGCTCTCAGTCCTAGATGCACATGGGCTCAGTGTTCAATCAGAATGCTGATGCTAAAGTAGAAAGGTTGACAAGAATGAGCTAAAAAAAGATGGAATGACTTCCACCTAGGTGGAATCACAACACAGAGAATTGAAAGGACTTGAGGAGGTGTGGTACTTCTAATTTACATCTTAAAGGACATGCAAATGAAGTGCAAGTCTAGTGATAAAATTTGTAATCAAGATTTCAAATGAGGAACAGTGTTGTATGATTAGAAAATAGTGATAATGAATCTCCAGAAAACAGAATAGAAAAGCCTAGAAATAGGGGAGGGTAGCAAAAGTACAATACTCCAGTTTAATGTATTTGATATAACCTGTGAGAAACAGATTATAAAGACACACCTGGTAAAAGATTTCTAATGAATGCTGAGAATTGTCACCTACCAAATATTTTACATGTGCAATCAGCAGTGTTGCTGCACACAGCCCTGCACTTCTGCTGCCAGAGCAGTTACATCCAGTTAAGAGAATCACAAGAACTGAGTACCCTGCATTTTCTGT